AATAACCATTTTCATTTACTTGATGAGTTCACCCGTGTCATCGTTACAAAGCTAAATTTTTATGGCAATTTTCGAATCAAAATGATTTATGTCTATCAATCCTTTATAAAGAACCTGTTAGATTTACGCGGTGTATACGAATGACATTATATATATATGGCCAGTATAAAAAGACAACTAGATTTCTTTTTTGAACATTCTCAAATCGATTATCCATGTCCAGGTGTTACAAAATAATAAGAAATTTTCTATTGCATTGGTGAGTTAACTTTTGAATTAACTCTACACATTAAAGATACCCGAGGTTCGATTCTCGGTGAGTGCGTGACAGTACCAACAATTTTTCCTCATTAATTTGAGGTAATCTGTAGAGGTTAGAAAATCACTTTCATTTAAAATGTTTGAAAACTATTAAATAGTATTTAAGAAACAAAATTGTATTATATTATTTACTATCGATTTACTTTTTGGAAATGGTGTGATAACCGAAACAATTGTTAGAGAATTAAAAATAAATACACTGTGAGACTTGCTAAAAGTATTTAATTTAACAATTTCATTATTAATCTATGAAATTTAAGCTTCTTTGCCATATACCATCTTTTTAAGTTGTAAAGTTTATGTCGTTGTCTAATAAGTCGAGACAAAGGTATCGTAAATATACCTAGCTACACCATCTGAAGATTTCTTTAACAAGGAGAGGGACAGGTACAGAGATTTTTAAATTTTTTCAAACTTATGGTACTTGAAGGTCAGCAGTAGGACATTAATTTATCGCAGCAGTCGCACTCACTGTTCAGCCATGTTAGAGAAAATCGAAACACCGAAACGTTTTTAAGTGTTTTTTTTTAGTTTTTGATTTCTTGTAGGTATTTAGATTAGCCCTACCTACAGCGCAGCGTCAATGTAATATAATATAAGTTTTCTCATGATTTTTAGTATAGTGCCCTTACTACAAAAGCTATAGTTTTACCCAAAGTAAAATTAGATGCTAGTTCAGCTCGTGGTATAATGTGTATAGAAGATATAGAATGTGTAGTAGTATTATTTAGGATATTTAAGGATATCCGTTGGTCGAGTAGCAATACTGGGACATAAAAGGTAGAGTAGGAATAAAATTAATGCGCAGGATTTACATTTTTTATATTTTTTTTTAATTTAATTTAATTACTATAGTTCTCGTACTTTCCGTTGACTATTTTCAGTTCATCATAAATAATTTTAGGTGGTACTAACACATAACTACTATTAACTTTTCCCCCTACTTCTACTTTTATATTGTTGTTGCATGAAATGTACACTATGTAAGAATGAAAATATTATGAATCAGCGGTAGGAGCTTTTTATATTTTACCATTTTATTAACCATTCATAGAGAAAAGTAAGAAGATACTTCAGAATTAGGAAAAAGTAAAGCAATAATTCTGTCAAGGAATAAATGGTCAAATTTCTAATATATAAATATTTTATATTTAAGAAGTTCAGGCAAACAAAAAATATACTTACTTTATTGTTAACGATCCTAAGATTAAATGCATTATTACAAAATTTACAATAAAAACCCATAATTAACGATAGGTAAATACGAATTGTACACATAAACAGGTTGTACTAATAAACAAAAAACATTAAAACTTATCATAGGAAGAGTAATTCTGGAAGGTGCAATATTTACAACATAGGTTATGGAAAAAATCATTTACGTACCTCCCAGAGAAGAAAACAATGGAAAAGCTGATGTATGATTTCGTCTCCTTTTTTTTCAAAGCTAGCAAGTAAAAAATATATATCTTAATAAACGTCTACTTGATATAACAGCGTTACGAATTGGGTTAATATTTTTATAAGGAGAAACAACGACAGGCCACGACTACAAACGTATACGAGCCGACAGAGACTGAACTGGAGCTGACTGGAACGCTGGGCTACCGTCACGCCACACGCTGTCGACTGCGATCAATTTTCGCGAAATCTTGACATACAGTGCATTGCAAAAAATTTATAACGTACCAAAACAAAGTGTGCGAAACATAATATTTAATTCTTACAACAAATGGATACTACCTACTAATTGCTTAGATGACATTCCTTGAGTATATAAAAAAATAAAATCGTTAATTTAACAAATATATCATGATAGGGTGGTCAGTCCTAAGACTGGTTGGACACGTACCTCCACTCTTTCCTATCCTGAGCTAAACTTCGCATTTCCCTAAAACTAGAACAACCCACATCCGTAACTATTTGCGAACAGTAATCTAACCTAGGTCTACCTCTACCCCTCCTAACTCCTGCTTCTGCCTCTAATATGTCTTTGACTAGACCTTCATGCCTGAGAAGGTGTCCTACCAACCTATCGCGCCTATTTTTTATTGACCAATTTCAATTTTATTGATCAATTATTGGTCAGTTCAGCAAATACAATTAATTTAAATTGAAAAATGAAGTATCAGGTACTCTTCTGACATTATCCTTAAAAATAGTGAGTAACATAGAAAGGCGCTATTTTACACTCTTTTAAAAACGTGTTATAAGATGTTTACTGTGTTTTTTTTTTTTTAATTTGTTTGAATTATTCTTTACACAAAATTAACATCAGTCCGTATCCTCCTCCTATGAATCCTATGTATGAGCTTTTTTCTTTTTATATTGTTTCCTCTGTTATTACACTGGCCAACAAAAGAAAAAAAATTGTTTGTTTCCTGTATATATGGAAATAATTTTTCTGCAACAGCTTTTCTTTTTGAGTTTTAACTAACTACCCTCATTTACCAATTTGTTTAGATTTTTGTGTTTTGTCGGTCATTAAAATATATGTTATTGTTGTTTTCGATGTGGCTTCCCCAAGAAGGTGTTGTTTACATAATCCAAACTGTTTTTCTTATATATATGGTGAATAAAGTTTTGAAAAATATCTAAAATCTATATAGTACTTCGTGAAAACTGCGTATCTTCTATACCTTTATATACAATTGTGCTATCAAGATAAGCCGTGGTTTCCTCATATTGTATGCCTGAAATGTGTTGTATGTTTACGATTGTGGTCCAATGGAAAAAGGGATGCAATAAATTTCGTGACACCCATGATTTGACTAGAGCCCCGGAATCACCACCACGACTGCTACTTCTGCGTTGTGAAAATAAATGGAATTAATCCTGGAAATCGAAGAAAGTGATCGTATCCTAATATACCTTCTGCTCAACGACCTCAACTGAAGTCACGAGAGGTACTATCTAGCAAATCTAAAGACCCTTCTACTTAAACTTGGTATAGTGAAACAGTTTGTGAAGACGTTTGACAAAAGTGGTGAATGTTTCAATTTGTTTTCAAGTTTCCAGGATTAAGTAATGAAAAATTAAAAGCAGGAATTTTTGATGGGCCACCAATTAGGCAACTCGTGAAAGATCCTAATTTTGTCAAAGCAATTATTGAAGTAGGATCGAAAGCACGGAATTCATTTGCTTTAGTTATGAGTAGACATCGGATTCTATTTTATATGGTTTTTGCATATTTTGGTACTTTTTCAGTAATAGTGCTTATTTCAGTAGTTATACGTGTTAGGCGTGTTGTATTATGCCGTCGACGCCACAGGTTTCAGCAATATACCCGATGCAATTGAAAAACTAGAAACTGAAAATCTTCCGAAGTCCTTGGAAATATTAGAAAAAATGATTGAACAAAGTAACGCCCTTCCGAGTTCAATATCGCAAAAGGTTCGTGGCAAATTAAATGCAGTTTTGTATAAAAACCCCGGTCTTGACGAAATAAAGAAAATTGACGCATTTATCAACGGCACCAGACAAACTCTTCCTGAAGAGGTCTCTGCAGGAATGGCGCCNGGGTCATGTTCACTGAACCTTAACAACTATCAGTATAAATTAGGATTAGTTCTCATTTAGGTTTAGTTTACTTCAGTCCCTGAAGAAGGTAACTTTGTTACCGAAAAGTGCTTCGGACAACTACAGTGTCGTGTTTTGGCGTTGGGGTTTTGAGCTATTCTGTTTGTTCTACAACAACCGCCAAAGTTTTTCCAATCTTCATAAACAGAACGACGTTAATTGCAAGCATAAAAGTTATAACATCCAGAACACTGAATAAGTACGTCACAGACTATCTTGTGTTGCTAAAAATTGCCCCAAAAATACTATCAAGGTAGTAAAAGTCTTCAGAAACATGTCGGGCAGGTGGCGTTGTTTACTTTATTCAAGTTGGTGTATAAACTCGAAAGCTTTTTCATCTAAATTTGAATATGCAAGTTCGTAGCCTTTCCCATTTTGGCGGAAATAGCTGTCAAAGGAATTATTTAGAAAACAAGCATATACCTACTTTCGTTTATTGATCAACTTGGGCATAGTGTTTTTTTAAGATACCGTGCTTCAAATATTTTTCTCTGTGAAGTTATTTACCAATAATTAAGTACATACTCTTTTCATAATTTTATAAAATTCTGAACTGATGTAGACTATATAATTATACGAAGGTTTGTCTTTAATTTTAAGTCACGTTCGTTCGAAAGTAGAGATTCAAGTATAATTTTAATGATGCAAACAACTAGGTGACCAATTAATTACAAGTAGACAACAAAACAGAAGTAGGCAAAACACTTGTTGGGTAGCTAGTGCCATTGGTAGTTGAAGTTTGTTTATGACTCTGCGGGAGTATAAGTTTGTATACATTGTGCGGCTATCTCCTCTCAAGATACGATTGTTTACTTTATGAGGTTAAAGTTCGAGGAGACGGAAAATAGGTAGAGACGCAGAAAGTTGGTGTGAAAAAACGAACATTATGTAAAAAAGAAGCAATAGTAACCTAATCCAGCTCTAACCTATAATAACTTAATTTCTTTAGAATGATTTTTATTTGAAGCCCCATTCATATTGTTTTAAGAATATTTCATTATTCAGAGGAAAAGGCTGAAATAGTTTAAAAAAATATTTCACTGTATTAGATTAGGTTAACGTTGGATTGGTTTATCATAGTTTTGGCGGGGCATCGGAAAATAGTAGTTACATGGAATTAATTATCGCCCTTCAGTTTAGAGGTACTAGTAAATCATGAATAAATTATTTATTATTCAATAAAGGGTCAATTTTCACCTTAAAAACCGCCCAATATACAACCGGCACACCATTATACTAAAGTAGGTACGTTGTAAGGAACTACACATACTTGGTTATCAGTAGCGAGGAGGAAATTTAATCTATTTCGACTGGTTGTTGACAAAATTTATTATTTACTGCTTTTTTAATTTCTAATTGTTTAGAAATGTTTCTATACTATTCGTATATAATATTTTGCGTTGTGTATTTTGAGTTTATGATGAAGCGAAGTACGACGTATTGACATTATTTTTGTTAATGGTAGAAACATGTTCCTTCAGCCTAGTAGATATGAATCTGGCTGATTAACCTTTGTAGATGGTATTATGTTCTTTACATGACAGTTAAGAAATTATGTTTAGAAGTTAGAGAAAGGACTTGTTAAAAAATTGTTTATTTTATTAAAAAGTGTTTACAACTCGGATTTGGAACTATCTAGACTAAGTTATAATACTAACTAATTCAAAAAGCAGTTATTAAATAAAAGGTAACGAAAAATGAGAAAGAATTCATTGATGGGAACATGGAGGAAAAAATTCACGCAAAGTGTGCCTATGTGCACCGACTCAATTTCTCCCTCCTTGTAAATGAGCACGTCCTTATATCAAGTTCTGCTGGAAATTTTTGCAATGATTATTTGTTGTATTACTCTGCTTTTATATTGAAAAATACTTCTACTTCTTTTTCTGAGTATATAACAAATAGTTCACAACACAAATATTAATATAATATTTATCGAAAAACCAAATTTGTTTGGTCCAATTCAAATTGAGTGTTTAAAACTTTAGCTCCTTGTTTTAGCTTATTTATATCATCAAAATTATTAAATTTAAGGTTTACAGATTTAGTGGGTTCAATATCTGTTTTTCTAACAATCGATGCATTATAATAATGATTATTAATTGTATTGATAAATACATTGTTTTGAATCATAATTTCACAATTTTGTTTTGATGATACAAGCCAGTTTTTATTAACAACACTAGTATAAACAATATACAAATATTCGAAAACGATAATTTGTTTTTTATAAGAAACGAGCACTACTAGCAAGCTGTTTCAGTAATTCGTAATCACTATTAATTAATAAATAGTCGCACTTATTCACAACACTGATCGATGATAGGTTTGTCTAAGGCAATCAACATTCGGTTTAAACCCCACATACATGATAACGTGAAGGGGGTAGAAAAATTTTCTTATCTTCATTAGGTATTATATAAATTCTTTGATAGCCAAAGTGATATTCATTCAGGATGGGAATACACAAAACGCATGTAATACTGAAAATAATTTTAAATTTGAGAATTCAATTATCTTAAAATACTTCATCTATTTCCATTAATTGACTTCCCTTATACATTAGTTTATTGTGTGCTAAAATATCTTCGAGATCTGATACAGTTAGTATCACTAAATTTGTAATATCGTTTAAAGCAAGGGAAATACTTCTTTGAATAATCTGGAGCGAATTCAAAAATTTTTGGAAAGCAAAAATATTTCCTTGTATTGTTGGTTGGAGTTTTTCCTACTATTTTTTATTTTAATTGTTCCAAAAAGAGTCAATTAAAAGTAGAGTCCTCTAGACGTCTTCATATTTCGATATATAAATCTGCTTGCTTAAGAAAATATACAAGATTTTTGTCATGGTTAGTGCAATCTGAGTAATATTACTTTGAGTAGTCACTGTATTTGATTTCCTAATAATACCTATGCTACTAATTTAGTTTTAAAATATACCGAAACTTCACTGTCACAATCACTAGGAGTAGATGAATCTCCATTTCTATTTGTATATCTCTTAATT